CTCTCCCTCTCTCTCTACCTACTTACTGTATTTCTCTCTCTTTCTCTCCCTCTCCCTCTCTATCCCTCTATCTACCTACCTACTTTTTAAAAAATCTGCCTCTTCAAAACCTTGGTGCATCTTATACTCCAAAAAATACGGTAATAGATTTTTCTTTGAAAAAACAATGATGCAGAGGATATGGCAGTTCTAAAGATTGTTGGGTATGTTCGTTACAGAGATCAAACTTTGATAAGGATAACAGGAACTATTCTCTTAGGAATCAAAGAGGTTAAAATGCAAAAGATGAAGAGATATAAAACATTGACAGCTCTTCCAGTAAAGGGTAGCAAAGAGAACAGCTCCCTGAGGAAGTAGAGAAATTGTTAACAGTAAAATTGAAAATATGTAGTATTCCCGCCACCCCCAATTAATTCAAGGTTAATGTGAGAGCAACAATTATTTCTCAGATTGGGAGAACTAGTAATAAAATAGAAATGATAACTGGCATAAATATGGGATGTCATTAGGGAGGGGAATTTACAACTTTCTATTTTCCAAATCCAGAAAGGATTTTGAGTTGTAATTGTGTTGAAATGAAAAAACAAGATGCCTTTTTGGGTGGTAGTATGAAGAAATTGAAATACAGTTGATCTTCATTATTTGGGATTCCATAAAATAAAAGCAAAATAAACCATAACACACACAAACCCGCAAACCAATACTCATACTACCTTCACATTATTTGTGAACATGTACAAACGGGGGAAAAATCCCCAGCTGAGGATTAGCATTCACTAATTCAGTGTTTTGGCAACGTTATAGAACACAAATACCATGAATAACAAGATTTTACTTTAAATGTGTAGTACTATACTTTCCCTAATAATCTGCTGAGAAATCACATTTGAAATGGATGATCCCAAGTTCTAGAATTTGTGAAAGAAAGATTTTATTAGCATTCTCTTGATTGTGCTTATTAAACCTCTAGCAAGTTCTGCTTTAGAATATTAATGCGTATAAAATGCTTCAGTACTATCATCTGGCTGTTGGTTTCTGTAAATGTTCATTAATACAATATCCTTTGAAATAACTTCAATAGAAATGTTCAGTAACATTGATTAGCAATTAATTCAGGCTTCACCTGAATTGCCGCTTCACCAAAGTATATTCAAAATGTGAGACTTGCTATTATTGAATATAGTGACAACTATTAGTTTCTAAAAATAGGATTACATAGATTAATGATTGCTAGTCAATGTAATTATATAAGAGATATTCTATTTATCAGTTGTTGGTAAATAGTCATAGGAGAAAGCAATTGCTTTTGTACTCTGGTACTAGGATTTCCAGAAACATCTTTTTAGCCATGGAGAAGTAAAATGTTAGTTTTCAGGCCTAGTCATCTACTGAAATAAATATCCTATTTACTCCTAGCAAATTACATTAGAACAACTATTTGGCACTGAAAAACTTGAAATAAATGTAATACAATAGAAAATTAGAATAGATATACAAATACTGAAAAGAAATCAGTGTTGTGGTTAATGTGATGAATTGGGGATGTTACGTCCACCTCCAATCATGTAAGTAATTCACTGATTTACTTTGAACCAGTCACTCTTTTACCAGCCCCAGCCTACCCACACATTGGGGTGGGGTAAAATGAAGGGAGCTAGCCAGTTAAATTACTTTGAGATCCTGAAAAAAAATTGATACATTAGAAATGCATCTAATAAATAAGAAAGTAAGCACATCAAAATCCACTGTAACTGGATAGTGAATGAAATGTTACTGTACAAAGCTGGAAATGAAAATGATACAACATTCTAGTATCTAATATCTTTAGTGAGAACTGCTTTGAGTTAATAACATCTCTGAATTGAAAAAAAAATAAACTTACATTATGCATTTCTCTTATTTCAGTTGAGTGTACGGGGAAAAAATAAGAAAGAGAAACTTGAAGACTTTTTTAAAAACATGGTTAAGTCTGCTGATGGGGTCATTGTTTCAGGAGTAAAGGTGAGCTTTTTAAATCCATTGCATCATTTTTAAGTATTGTTAAAAGATATGAATTTAAATAATTTGCAAGACAGGAATACATCTCAAGTAATTTGCAGAAAACTATTGTATACAAAGAGTAACTCTTTCCAACATACCATTGGTTTTGAATCTTTCTAGTGTTAAAAATTTCTGGGGGACTTTGCTTGNAATGAATCATTTCCAAATCAAGTAATTTTTGAGCTAATTATAAATGGTTTAGAAACATTATTAACGGAATTCAAATTTTATATCAGAGGGAATAATTGCAGTAACATAAATCATCATATTTCCAAGTAAAATTTATGCTGATTTATGTTACTGACTGCTGTCATTCCTGCTAGTCTATAGTGTTTTATAGTGTCTAATGTGGTTGTTTCTAAGCTAAAGTACAATCAAAATCCAATACAGTCTAATAACCTTTTATGTCCCTTACTAATTTATTTCTCTTTTTTAGCTTAGAGCTGTTACTGTAGATCTGCAAACTGATGCTGCTTTGCAAGTGGACATTTCAGATGCTCTTAGTGAAAGGGACAAAGTCAAATTCACTGTTCATACAAAGGTAATCCTTGACATTGCTTTTATTTACACTATAATTGATTTTTAAAAAGGGAAATAAAGCTTTGTGTAAAGATTAAATGTAGCGAGATCTCATTTTAATGAAGCAGTTATGGGCTGTGCCTTGGTTATGTCCAGCATAGCCAAAAGCCCAGCAAATTGAGACATTCTTGTATTTCAGATGATGGTTATTGGTATCATGTATATAATATACTCAATAACATTAGGGATATTTTGTCATTGGTGTGATGTAATTTGTAATATAATGTGGTTAATTTTATGTGAAATTTGTTACATTGAGATCTCCAAAAATGTATAATATTTTGATGTCAATCTTGTTGCTTTCACTAGGATTTAACTAAAATTTAAAATGTGTTAATGTATGATTAGGTTGATAATACACTTTTCCTCTGTGAAAATATGTAATACACATGAGGAAAGATTTACTATGCTATGGGCAGGGGAGCGAACATCAAACCTGATCCTAGATTTCCATGTTCTCCCCCCCTAATACTTGCTTAATTATTTTTTTCCTTTGAATGCCCTATTTATGAATCTGTTTGGTTGAGGTATAATACTGTACTTTACTCTGAAGATATATTTGTCTTGTTTTTGTATTAACACGAGGTAAAGGACTTATTATTTCATTCATTCTATTTTGTTTTGCAGAGTTCTTTACCAAACTTCAAACAAAATGAATTTTCAGTTGTCAGACAACATGAAGAGTTTATTTGGCTTCATGATTCCTTTGTTGAGAATGAAGATTATGCGGGCTACATTGTAAGTAGTTTTTTTTCCAAAGAACTGTAAAAAGAGGATCTGACAATAGCAAATGTTCTTGTACTTCCTGTTGAACGTTTTTGTGAAACACCATAGGATGTTTCATAAAAATGTATTCTTCTGAAAATGAAACCAGATGTTTCAAAGAATTCCAGGATGCAGTTCTTACTTCAATTTCCCTCTTGCTGCATCAGCGTTTTTGCTGCTTAACCCAGGATCTTTCCAAGTCTTGGAAATACAACCAATTTTGTTGTATTTAAGTACAATGACAATAGAGATTATACTTAATATTTTACATCTGATTTACAAGTGATAAGAATAACAAACTCTCATGTACTGAAACATCCAGTTGATTACTTTTATTGCTGCAATTAAGGGAAGAGATATTTAAAGATTCTGAGATACGGCTGTTCAAAAAAGGTATAACTGATTATTAGGTTATGGACTTTTTTGAAGTGGAAGTATGCAAAAGTAGAAATATGAAATGTATTCCCTGTAATAAAATGGCAGTTGATTTAATATGAAGGAAAAATGGCATGCTTTTTGAATGCACTATTAATAGAAGTGTTTTCTAGTCTTAGAGAATTGTGCTTAATTATTTAAAGAATTGAATGTTGTAAGAAACAAAATAATTTAAACAAATAAATTGTTAATTAACAATAAGAATATTTTAACTTTTAGCAGCACATTTGTGCATTCTTTAATTGGAATATAAATTCAATTGTACCCATTTATTTTTGCTTCTGCAGCTAAATATTTCCTTTAACAGTATTTCCTGTTGATTTAGCTGTAGTAGGCAGATTTACTTTGTCTTTCTTTTTTATCCCAAAAGAATAAATTACACTGCCATGAATCCTGGTCAATAAGGCAAATAGTTAAGGGTGATTGATCTGAGGATATATTGCTAAGAAAGTTTGCCTTAAGGGATATTAGAAGTTTTACTTCTTGAAAATTATTTTCCCAGAATAAAAGTACATCTGCTGTTGCAACGAGGAAGGCCTGATAACTAATAAATTCCAAATGAGGAAGATGACACATATTCCTGAGTCTAGTACTTGATCAGTTTTTCATTATTGTACAGTGTAGTGGGAGA